CGGGGGTTTACCCACCACCCTCCCCCACTTGGCAGCCCTAGTCGGCCATGGCTAGTACTTCGCCGGGATATCACCATGGAGTGCAGTGTGGTAACTAAGAGTGTCTAACCAGTATGTGGAAGACTCAGGTTCAAATCCCCTTTCTTGGCCCAACCTAACTCACAGGGTTGTTGTGAGGATAAAATGGAGAAGAGAATCATGGGGAGAGCAGCGGGGTATAAATGAATGAATGAATGAATTAAATAAATAAATAAATACCAGGGTTGCTATGCAGAGAAAGGCAATGGCAAACCACCTCTGCTCATCTCCTACCTTGAAAACCTCACAAGTGGGTCACCATAAATTGGTTGCAACCAGGTAGCATTTAATTATTAAGGGATACTCTGCCATTATACATTTCTTAAATAATCTAGTTGAGCTGACAGTATCATATTACAATTCAATCTAGTATTTGCTGCAAGGTGTTACAAGTTTAGACATTCTTCACATAATATATTCCACATAACTGCAGTTGGCACAGCAGGCTGTGAAACCCTTTTAACTCCATAATTCCAACATCAAAATTACTTTTTTGGGGGGGAAATGTAATGCCTCATGGAGTCTTTTAAACACATAAACAGCAGTGTTTATGGGACAGAATGACGTGCTAACTTAGCAAAAAAAAAGTTTCCATTAGAATAAATGGAAACACAATTGGTAACACAATTCATGGACAAACACCATTAAGTAAATGGTTATTTCTTGTAAATGTCATGACTCTACTTCGTGAATGCTTTTGTGCATGTTGGCAATTTCTCCACAATGAAAGGCTGAACACTTCACTAGGCACTAAATGATCATGTCAAGAAGGCTGTCACATACCACAAATTGCATGGGTCTCCCATATACACTTGACTGGCCACAACAAAGACTTTCTGCTAATACACAGACCACTAAGCACTGCACCGAAGCTGAATAACCTTTCTAACTCACCTGACATTTGATGTAAAACCTTCTTTCTACAAAAACAGCAATATAGCTAAATGCATAATAACTTGTCTCAAAATGATAAAACGTGTACATTTAACTTCTACATACCCAGTTCCTCACAGGAAGAAATGCTGTGGCACATAGCAAAATTATTAATTCTCTTATGCCATTTTTCTTCCAGAGAAACCAGTTAAACATTAATGTTCTACAGTACAATCCTAAGCAGTGGACTTAGAAGGGTATGACTGCTCATGACAGCACTGTTAGCTGACTACTAATAACTGGAGTTGAAAAAGATATGTGAGAAAACTAATTTAAATGCAACAGTGCAAAACAGTGCAAAACGGTGGCACAGAGGATTTATCCTCTGGTTACAGTAACATCTGAACTGAACAGAACTGCTGTCAGTTCTCGCCCGTGCTGGTGCGAGCTACCAGCCTTGTCCCCAGCTCGCCGTCCACCCAGCGGTTCGAAAGCTTCGGCGATTAGATAAAATGGGTACCACTCCTTAGAGAGGGTGGACACACTG